GCCCGCGCGGGGCGCCGCGGCCGCGCGTCGCGCGGGCCGTCGCGTCGACCCCGCCGCGCGCGCGCGCGCGGACGCGTCGCGTCCGAGGCCGTCCCGCGCAGGCGCGGTTCTTCGTCGGCGACCTGCTGCCCGAGGCGCGGCGCGCGATCTACCTCGACGCGGACGTCGTCGTCGAGGCGTCGCTCGCGGGCCTCGACGGCGCCGCGGCGGCGGCGTTCGCGGCGAACGCGTCGGCCGTACTCGCGGCGGCGCCGCGCGACTTCAAGCGCGTCTGCGACCACCTCGTGAACTGCGGCGCCGCGGCCGTCCTCGCGCGCTTCGCGGACCCCGCGGCGGCGCTCCACGCGTTCAACGCGGGCGTCGTCGTCTTCGACCTCGACCGCTGGCGGGTCCGGCGGCTCGCGGCCGACGTCGAGCGCTGGGTCGCGGCCAACGCGGCGGCGGACCCGCCCATCTACCGCCTCGGCAGCAACCCGCCGCTCGTCCTCGCCGTCGGCGAGGACTGGGCGCGGCTCGACCCCCGGTGGAACTGCATGCGCGGCATCCACCGCCAGCACCCGCACAACACGGCGTGCTGGCGCGACGCCTTCGTCCGCCACTACCCCGGCGGCGCCAAGCCCTGGGCCATGGCGCCGGCGGACGCCGCGGCCCTCGGCTGGCGCTTCCCGCGGCGCGCGGCCTGCGCCGCGGACCTCGAGCGGCGCGCGGAGCGCGGCGTAATCGCGACTTGAGGTAGTCCGTGAAGCGGCGGGAGCCGGCACGGTGCCGAGAGGCAGCCCCGCGGGCGGCCGCATGGGCCCGCGCGCCGATGCCGGCGCGTCGCGGCGTCGAGGGCCGCGCGGCGCATGAGGCGCGGGCGCGCGGCGGCCGTCGCGCTCGCGCTGCTCGGCGCGTCGTCGCTCGTGACCTTCTCGGCGCTCCGCGGCGACGGCGACGACGGGCCGCACCTCACGCCGCGGACCGCGCTGCGGACGCCGCCGTTGCCGGCGCCGCCGTTGCCGGCGCCGTTGTCGGCGCCGCCGTTGTCAGTGCCGCCGTTGCCGGTACCGGCGCCGCCGCCGCCGGCGGCGGACGGCACCTTCGCGGCGTTCCGCGCGGCGCGGGGCCCGGCCGGGGGCGGCCCCGGGTGCGCGCTGCCGGCCGCGGCGCCGGCGGCGAGCCTCCACGTGCTGCACCCGGGCAAGACCGGCGGCCGGAGCCTGGCGAGCGCCGTGCGCTGCCAGCCGCGCATCCGCAAGCTCGCGCACCACGCGCCCGCGGGCGCCGCGGGGCCGAACGCGACGTACGCGATCGTGCTCCGGGAGCCCCGGGACCGCCTCGCGTCGGGCCTCGCGTTCATGGTCAAGGGCGGCGAGGGCATCGGCGACGACGCGGCCGCGGGCGCGACGGGCTTCGTCGAGAACGGGCCCTGCCACGCGTTCCTGCGGAACCGCACCGTGCCCGCGGCGCTCGGCGACGCCGCGGGCTTCCGCGGCGCGTGCGCGGCGCCGGCGCACGCGGGCCCGGCCGGGCCGGGCGAGCCGCCGTCCGACGCGGCGTTCCGGCGCCAGTCGGCCTGGCTCCCCGCGGACGCGGGCGCCGACGTCCGCGTGCTCTGCTTCGACGCGCTCGCCGCCGACTTCGACCGCGTGCTCCGGCCCTTCTGCGAGCCCCCGGACTGGCGCGAGCCCCGGCGGACCTGCGGCCTCGCCGCCGCGCGGCGCAACGCCGCGCGGCGCCGGCCCGAGCACTTCGTCCCGGGCGCGCGCGAAGCCATCGAGGCCTACGCGGCCGAGTTCTACGCCGGCGACGCCGCGCTCTACGCGCGCGCCTGCGGCAACGCGACGCGGGACTTCTGGTCGCCGCGCGC